TGATTTCCATTATAATAATTTATTAATTTTACATTAGGTGACCCATATACTTATAAGTATAATATATTAAATGGGTCACCTTACGTGGTTTATAAGGATATGGGTATCTTAGAAACTACTGGAGTCACAAAAAGTAATAGCAAAAATTTTAAAAATTAACCAAACAAGAGCAACATTATAAAGAAGTGTGCAGATATATTGTTTATTATTTATATTCTAAGTTAAATTATATTTTATTTATTTATATTAATATATAATAACAATGTTAATATAATATTCAAAATAAACTACCTACATACATTTTTGTTCTCTACAAATTTTTTGGGACAGTAATATCTGAGATAAATATATGGGTCCCCTCACTTGGTTCACCCTGTACCTACCTATATATAATGTATTCTATGGCTGTTTTAGCATTTATTGGATAATAGTTTGAAGATAGGTAGTTTAGTACTTAAAGCTTTGTTTTAAAAGAAATTTATAAGGTTGAAATTTTAATTTAATTAGTTGATTAAAATTAACTATTTACATAAATCATGATTTTAATGAAGGGATTTTAATAAAAAATGAAAAATTAATTAAAAAATAGCCCCCAAATCAAAAACAAACGATTTTACTAAAAATTAAAAGAATACATTTCCCAAATAATAATTTAAAACAATTGCAGTGACACGCTGTGGGGTTTTTGTAAGTAGAAATATTTTTACGCTTGTTTTATTTTCTCCCTTGGCATTCTTTGTAAGTTTCGAAAAACAAATTTTTTATTTACTTCTGTACTATTATAGAGGTACAATTATATAAGGTTTATTTATGTTTTATTTATTTTTTGTACCTGTTTTTTTATAATAAAAGTATAAAATTTATAAAAGTTGAACTTTTTATATAACGACCCTTATCCTGTCAGCAAGTAAGTATAATAATTCTTATGAAAAATGCATAATATCGTCTATAATACATATTTTATTAAAGTAACTAAATTGCTAATAAAGAGAATAAAGAGAGTTTGTAAAAAGTATTAGTCACTACATTAATAAGAATTTTCAAATACACATAGCAATCCGAAATTATACTGGCTAAAAAAAATGTAATACTCGACACTAGAACATTATTTTATGGTGGCAGCATATTGATTTTATAAGAGATAATAGTATGTCTAAAACTGTTACAAGATGTTTTAACAAAATCGAGTTCATAGTGTCTATGAACTAGTTGGCTATTCTAATAATAATAGAAAAATCTTATAAGGAGTATTATATTTTTTATAACAGGTATTAGATTTTTCTCTTAGTGCACTATTATTTAAATTGGTAGTTACTGCTCTTAGTTTAATTAAAAACACACCAACGCATGTAAAATTATTTTCGGTAGAAGGGACACGACCTTGCTTAAGGTGCGATGTTGCGTGTGAGAGAAAAGGGGGACCCCACCGCCAAGGAGAAGATGACTGTGAGAAGGAGCGGCAACAGTGTTGCCATCTTGGAGAATTTTTCACCATTTCTGTTGATTTTTTGTTCTTGGTTGAGAGTTTTCAAGTTAGATAGCGACCAGTCTCAATCCTGGAGAATTTAAAGATGCATCGGAGAGTTTTTAGCGAATTTTAAGTAATTAAAATACAGAATAAAAAATATTGAAAGTTGGGTTGGGTGCGTTGTACTAGTGATTTTTTAATTAAGAATTTGACCGGTCAGAACTTTGATACACTCCATCCTCATATTTTAAAAATGTGACTCCTTCATCCATTAAAGTTATCAGAGACTCTGTGAAGTTATTACCGGTTACAGTTATGCTGTAAGGACTACCTCCTCCCTGATAATGTATTAAAACAAAAAGGTACCAAAAATATATATAAAATATATAACAATGAGACTGATGAAACAATAGATGATATAATTGAATATATTGGTACTATCTAAACCCTTCTACAGTTTATCCTAAAATGTGCCTGTCAAACTTTGTATATAGAAAAATAGACTTATTCTGATCTGCACCTATATACATGACGTTAACAAAGTTTGGCCAGCTACTTTTGGGACATCCTGTATAGCTATATTTTTTTCTTATTCCATGTTAAAAGAAAATGTTTATTATATAAAAAGCTTTAAACTTTAAAGTTTAAAGCCTTATATTACAAATTATTAAAAGTATTGGAGATTTTTTTTTGGCAAAGTTGGAGAATTCTGGTGAATTTTTGTTTAGGTTTTTGAGAATTTTAACATTTTACTGTTGGCAACATTGGAGCGGCAACAGTGACGGCGAGTTGCCATCCCCCAAAGGAATCAAACACGCTTCGGGACCAAGACGTATGTTTTGTTTAGATGGTCCTGTCTACTTCTCGCGATTTGTGAACCCGGTACGCAATTTACTAGCAAAATGGAAATTTTATTCGCCCTCCACTCAAGTGCTCTTATTCCGAACTTATTATTTTTATTTGAATAAAAGTCATATATTTCAGCTCATGTTTTATACATACGGCATTATGTATAATGTATGAAATATAACAATGCGAATATTGATCAAAAAACAATTTTATTTCCCACATGCATTGTCGTAATAACTTTATTACACACGTATAAAGGAAAATATATAAAATAATAAACAAGTATTTTGTATTCCGCACAAATTTATTGTACCAAACTGGGCCACATCAGAAATTCTTGTAAAATTATTTAGGTTACAATGTTATAAAAATAAAATTTGTTAACATATTAAGATGCGAAATAACCGAAAAAAGATGCCATTACGGGTTTTCACACTAAAATTAGGGGAAACAGTGAAGTGGGTTAAAGTTGCGAAATACATTAGTAAGTGTTGTAGTAGTACTGATAATTATATTTTACCGTGTAATTTAATTATGTGTACGTTATTTTTCTGTTCCTTTTTTTTTGTTTAGGAAATTGATTAATAAAGCAAAATTTCTTAAAATTCTTTTCATTTAAGTTCCCAATTTCCAACAAATACTTTTGTTGCTGTGTCTACAAAAAGGATGTTAAAAATAAGGTCCTTTTTAAACTTACAAGAATTATGGTTGAATTATAGAAATATAGAACATAAGAACATTGCAGATAAATCGTTCAGTAGTAAACTTAAACAAGCATCACAGAAGCCATCAGATGGATATTTGGACTGTTTTTTAGTAAAAAGTTTAGTAAAAAGTTTTTACATAACATTTAATAAATCCCTATGATAAAAAATTATAAAGTTAATCTATTTTTCGTACTACAGAGACAAATTTCATGTCTATTTTGTATTCGGAGAAAAATCCCACTTAAATGAGTAACTATAGTTACAATAACATTGCTTATCAATAATCAAATGGGTTTTTCCATTAAATATTTTGTCCTAAAATTTTGTTGACACACTTTTACTGATACCATCAAAAATTGTTGTGTTGTTGTTGTTGTTTGCTATAACCTTGTTTTTTAAAAAAAATAGACACTATAATATTTCAAAATGGACAAACTTTAGAAATACAAAATTTTCAGAAATTATTCTTTTAATGTCTTCAAGACATTGTCTTGTAATAATTAATTAAACTTTCAACCCTGAGACTTTATTAGTTTTTTAGTTGGATATTTTTAAAAATACCGTGAGCAAACAAAGACTTTTGCGCCCTATACAGGGTGTACATACCGAAAATATTGTGCAATACTCTACAAGCTGTTTTTAGGGCAAAAATAGAACGAAAACTCTCTAAAAATGAATTAGTCAAAAATGACTAAATGTCATAGCGAAAAAGCAGCCACTAATAATTCTCGTCAATAGAAATTTGCATCTCGAATATTTTAGTCCTCCTACACTGTTCAAAATTTTATGACTATTTTAACACCAAATTATCACCATACATGGTCTATATCGATACAAACCAAAATGGTGTTAAATATGGTTCGTTGGTCCGGTGTAAATACTAAAATACTGTAAATTTAAATTTCACACAGTATTAAAATAAATTTTACCTGGTGTAAATTGAACTAGAGGTGTGTAGTTCGCGAACGAACTAGTTCAAAAGATCGAATTTCGTAACTGAACTAAAAGATTCAATCACCAAAACTAAAAAGAGCGAATCAATTCGAACTAAACTAAAAATCCGTAGATATATTTCATTATATCCGTATTTACTAATGGATTTTTTTTCACGCAAATTCGTTCCTAAAATAGGCAACCAAATCAACCACTTAATGGTCTTGGCAACAGCGCTGCAGCGTAGCATTTTGACCAGCAGCAAGTGCAATTCCAAGAACACTTCTTTGGTGCAAATCAATCAATCAATCTCAATATAGTTCACTTGAACTACTAGAGAAGTGTAGTTCGCGAACGAAACTACGTAAATCCGATTATAAATCAGTGAACTAAACGAACTAGTCTTTTGTACTATTCACTTTAATGAACGAGATCGAAAGATCGAAATCAGGAAAGTGAACTAAACTTCCCACCTCTAAATTGAACTCCTGTTTTTGGTCAAATTAAATTATACTAGACAGAAAAAAAGGAAAAAAGGAAACAGGAAGTTCCTCAACGCATTACTAGTATATTACTGAAGAATAAACAAAACTTTCCTGTTTAATTTTTGTTGACTCTAGTTTAAGTTTATAGGTTTCAAAAACCAAAAAAAAAAATTTTCGGGACACTCTGTATAACCTCCTGTGATATTGCAGATTCACAATATCTACCGGATTTTAGACTACTTAAAATGTATAAACTAAAAATAAACTATAAATTCGTAGTACACATTTTTAACCTCTTTTGAACAATTTGGATTTTTTAAGTGTTTCGAGATTTTTTTTTATTGTAAATACCCGATTTTAGTCAACTTTTGGTTATGAAATTGTTACCACCAAACACGACCAAATAAAACATAAATTTTATTTGATGATTTTTTGATATTCGACCATTCCAATTCGTATATAATTTTTAAATTAAATACTAGCATTATCGGTAATATAGCTATGGGATTTAATAAACCAAACAGAATAATTAAAAATAATTTATTAAAAAAAATATGTTCAACCAATAAGAACTAAATATCCTAGGGCTTTGCAGCATTGTTCCTTCGTAATCCTTTCAGTTTCTTCAACAATAGCATCTGGACAGACAGCTTTCAAAAGTTCTGGTACTCCTTGACATGCGGCGGTGTTTCCCAAAGAGTCCACAACCCTGTTTTCTTCTGGGCACATTTTCAAAACATTGGCAGCGCATACTGAGGCTTTGCAGTGAGTCTCATGGTGAGTTTCAGGGATAAGCTAAAGAGATTTTTATTTTAATTTTGGCTATGTACAATGTACTATGCTCCACACCTCAAAGTCCCACCACGTGACCACGTACGGAACGCAGTCTTTTGAAAATTTGGCATTTAAGGCTTTTCAGGTTATGTATCTGTCAAAGTATAGTCAATGAAAGAAATAATATTTATAGTGTTACTGCTTATGTTTAAGCGTTAAAAGTTAATAAATCTTTATAGTATCACAATAACAATGGTTGGTTTAAGAATTTAGGAATATAAATACTACATTTAATGAAATTCCAAAGTGTAAGGTGCAATATAAGTGATATTTTTGTGCATTGGGTCTACATTTCTCCATAAAATAGTTTTAACTATTATGAAATAAGAATATCTGTATCAAAGGTAGGTTAATGTATTAAAACAAAAAATATCATCTAATTTTGTATTTTAAGGTTATAAAAATCTATTTTGACCAAAATAAATAAGTGGATTATTTGGAAGAGTGTGTTAATATGGTCATAAATAAATTTAGGTATACTTAATAATTGTAGAATATGGTTCAAATTAAATTGAAGCTTTTATACTTCTAACGACCAAACTTGTGCATACCTCTCGGCATACCTACTTTAAGTTAGATTATAAGAAAACAAACAATTTTTAGAGAAACTTGCAATGTGAAAATATTTAATACTCCCATGACATGTGATTTATTAAAAATTTTAAAGTTATGATTTTTGGATGTAGATCAAATTCAGTCGAAGCTTTATAACTATTTGTATTGACAAAACTTTATGTAGGTACCTACACTTTAAGCTGGATTAGAAAAACTACCACATTTTTAAATACCATATTATACAGTCTTTTAAATAACCCAAAATACTTATTTATTTTGGCCAAAATAAATTTTTCCAACCTTAAAATTACAAAATTAGATGATATTTTTGTTATAATATATTAACCTACCTTTAAAACAGATATTCTTATTCCATAATAGAGAAGCTAGATTTTTTTAAATAAATGCTGTTTAGTTAAAATAATTTTATGGAGAAAAACAGATATTTGGACCAAATGCACAAAAATATTACTTATTTGGCACCATATACTTTAGAATTTCATTAAATGCAGTATTTATATTCTTAAATTCTTAAACTATCCATTGTTATTGTAATGTTATAAATATTTATACATTTTTAACGCCTAAACATAATATTATTTCTTTCATAACCTGAAAAGCCTTTAATGCCAAATTTTCAAAAGACTGCGTTCCGTACGTGGTCACGTGGTGGGACTTTGAGGTGTGTAGCATAGTACATGAGCGAATATTATTACCTTCATGGGAAGATTAAATCCATTTACTACAGATACAACATATTGGTCTTGTTCTGCACCCAACTTCAATTCAGCTACTGTTTTAGGCCCATCGCAAACTTCAGAACAGGCTGAGATGTTTCCGGACCAATTTTCTTCCATGCTCACCATTTGCTGATATAAAAAAAAATATTAAATATTTTTTTAATAGATGAAAAATTTTACTTACCACTGCACCGGGTAACATTTTAATATCTTCCATGCCGGTTATGGACACTGTTATTTCTTCTTTTCCATAGTGTTGTACTGTTACATTTACACCATATACAGTGGAGATAAGTAAGGCACTTACTAGAATTTGTGAAATCATTTTGATATGTTGTTTTACTTTAATTACAGTAAACTGATTATTAATTTAGCAAAATCCTACGTTTATATACTAAATTAGGTACTAATCTCCACCAATAAAAATGTTGGGTTTTTAAAACATAATCTTATAAAATAATATTTTTCAAGATCCTACACTACAGAGATAAGGAGTATTAGTAATAATATTAATTTGTTACATTGAAATTATATCTAAACAATAAACACTTCATTTTGTATAAATTTCCTATAGCACTTAATATTAAGTGGATTAATTTTTAATGTTATTATGCGTTACTATGCGTCTAGGATTTTTTAAATTTTACTGTAGCTTTAAAGTAGTAGGTACGTGTTGTTATAAGCAATATATTTTTGTTGAAGGTACTCAATCAAATTCAAAATTTTAATCATGTTTAAATTTAATAACACCCCATTCTGAAATTAAATTATAAGGAAATTTGGTAAAATTTAACTATCAGTAGGTACTACTACAACACGTATTTCGTAACTTTAACCCACTCCACTGTATCTCCTAATTTTAGTTTAAAAACCAGTGATGGCATCTTTTTTCGGATAATTGACAGATTTGTGGTAATATATTATAAACACTCTGGACAGTTGTTACAAACACGTTACGAATTAAAATAAAGTAAGCAGAAACATAAGTTGCAGACGCTGAATTTAGTTGAACTTGTTGATGCGTATTGTTAGTGGGAAATGTTTTGATTGGCTGCCTGAAATCACGCGTACTTTTTCAACGAAATAATTTGTTAAACATTAACAAAATAATCTGTAACATTTTAAAGTTAACAAAATGCTTACAAAATTGCATATAACCTTTATAAAACTTTCGGTGGAATATTTTAATAATAGGCTTTATTTCAGAAGACATATACATGTATAGAAAACGACAGTTACTACAATGTATATAAGAGTTTCAAAATTATATAATATCACTTTAAGTAACTTAGACAGTCCTATAAAACTGAAGGTTATATATAAAATATTCACGTGGTTTAAACAAGTTAATGAATAAGATGACAATAGGAAAGATAGCGTACCTATAAAGAAATATATATTTTAAATGTGCCTGAGGGAGAAAAAAATATTAAAAGAAGAAAAAAGCCGGTAGCAGTTATATAGTGGTTTCCATAATATTCCTGTTATCTCTAGTAATAAAACTTGGGTTTTATAGTGTTACTAAAAAGGTACTAAAACTTCATAAACTCCCCAAATAAGCTCTTTAAGGGGTATATAAGAGTGATATAAATATTTATGTAACCAAATTAAGAAATTTAGGTTTTATAATTTGGATGTTATAACATTTATAGAAACCACTATACAAAACACATCAAGAGTGATATATAAAAGTAAAGCTTAATTTGCAAATAGGTATTTTGTATGAAAAAATTATTAAACGTATAATGCAACAATCTTTTTATCACTACTTTTGCGTTTGCCCGATGGAAGGTTAACTGTCAGTTTAACAAAACAAAAAGTCCTTAATGTAGTTTTTTAATTTGGTTTCTCTTAAAGCGCTTTTCCTACTTACTATACCGTATACTACACAGAAAAAAATCTAACATAGTACCAAGAACAGCGCTGTCATTGAATGCATTAAAATTGAAGCAATCTAAATTGTTATTTGCTCAATGAATTACTATTAAACCAAAATAGGGAAATATTTTGCCCAAATGTCAAATAATTTATTGCGTTAAATGTATACAATGTATACTATACATAGTATACATACAATAGTAACGTTATTAAATAAATCAAATTAGTATTTAATGCAATAACATTCTAACATTCTAACAAATAAATATCAATTTGAAGACTAATAGATTTAGGAGCGATAACTTTTGTGGTTAATTTAAAAACATTAAACGATTATAAACCAAGTGCTAACTACCTATTGGTATTATAGGAACTGTTATTCAGGAATACGGATTACAAGGTCCCATTGGTTTAATGGCTCACCCATTCATGCTATGCTAGCGTTTTTTCTGTGTATAAAGTAATATTACTTTGGAGAACTTTTATGGGTATTTGTCCAAAATATTTTGGCAACATCCGCGCATCGTTCTAATTTAATAAAGCCCAGACTGAACGAATGAGCACGTATTTAAAATATGTAAATTTATTAACGCTATTAACGCAAAATGACCACCTAATAGGGCCGCTCACCCCTTTTCGGCGGTGGCGTCGCCGTTAAAGGATGCTGACGCCGTTATGACCACGTGCGTGTGTGTGTGTGTGTGTGTGAGAGTGTGTACGAGGTGTGTTCAGAAAATATCGGGAATTTTCGTTTTTTGAAACAAATATTTATTTATTCGTCTACATTAATATTGTCGCCTTCAAAATAGTCCCCATTGGATATTATGCACATGTGCCAGCTCTTCTTCCAATACTCGAAACACTTCTAAAACTCGATCTTTAGGATAGCCTTTAGTTCTTTCAGCGATGCGCTTTTAATGTCGTCTATGCTTGCAAAACGACGGCCCTTTAAGGTTCTCTTTATTTTTGGGAATAGGAAAAAGTCAGACAGATGCATGTCTGGCGAATATGGAGGCTGGGGCATCATTACAGTATTGTTTTTGGCCAAAAATTTTGTTCAAAATTTAAAAATTTTAGAACAAATTTTGCTGCCACGCGTTTCATACCCAAAACATTCGAAAAAATTTCATGGGATGAGCCAATCGATATACCAACATCATCAGCGACTTCTCTGATGGTTTTTAACCATTTCTTCCACTTTTTCCATGTTTTTATCGGTTGTTATTGTGCTTGTGCGTTCGGGGCGTTCGTCATCTTCAACGCCTTCACGGCCATCTTGGAAACTCTTATTCCACTTGTAAACTCTTGTTTTACTTATAGCAGACTCACTATAGGCCTTTGTTAACATTTCACAGAATTTATTTAATTTTTTAAGCAAAATTGGATACAAATTCTTTGATCCATTTCTTTTAACGCCGAGTTTATAAAACACGTCTAACCTTAGCGGCTGCCACAGACAAAGTAAACAATGAAAACAGCTAGTTTTTATCATACTTCGGGGGCATGTATACCAACATAATAAAGAAAATTTTATGACAACCGGACCCTCCGAACCCGCGAAATTGAACAATTCCCGTTATTTTCTGAACACACCTCGTATGTGGGGGTGCGACTGTCGACTTCAAACCGGCGGCGGCATTTACTTTCCTGATTGCGTTTCAAATAACCAGCGACTGATGCTGAATACAAATCCGAAAAGGACCACACACACATCAACTTTAATTAAGCCAAATTTTGCGATACAAGACAATTTTTGATTGGTTGGTTGTTACTTGACTTTATAAATTTTGAAAAAATTCCAAATTCAGAATGGAAATTTTACAGTACGAGCATGGGTTTCGAAGGTCAAAAAAGCATATTTTCTTTATTATATTTTAATATAACAAAAACAATAATTTCAAAAAAAGTTTTCTTCTTAAGGTGCTTTAACTGCATGCTGCATGCTACATAAAAATCCGGTGCTATCCAGTGCCGGATAGCCATGCTGTGTAAGCACACTCAAAACACGCTTTAAAAAAATATTTAGTCAAACTTTTAAGAATATGAAAAACAACATTTAAATATTATTTCAAAAAATTTCTAGTTGACCATTTGTTTTTCAAATGCCCCCCCACTTTTTAGGTACTAATCACCCTTACTTATTTAAAACCTTCCAAAAATTTGTTGAATCTTAAATTAAATACTGTTTATAACCCGTAAATAAAACATTGTTTAACAAGAATATTCAATAAGTTATACCACAAGTGCTAAAAAATTGCCGATAATTTTCATTTGTACAAGCTAACTAACACCCAGTGTAATACGCAAGTTCCTTTTGCCATCGAAATTCCTAAATTCATCTGTGAAGCGGTATGTGGATTACGTCGGAGCGGCAACGTGGTCTGCATACAATGCACTCAGCAAACACCACCATTAAACTGTTAAAGGAGCTTATTTGCATATCTCCGTATAAGCCTGATATCATTGGCTGTTTTCTTCCTGTTTTATGACACTTCCGATTTCACGCACGGTGGACTGCAATAGCAAAAAAGTGGCCAACGTTTATTTAAAAAAAAACTAAAATTATTATTCAATTGGCACAGTATCGGCGATGTTATATTTAAAATCTTAGAAGCAAGTCAAATATTACAATATTTTTAAAACTATTTAAAATATAATTATAAAACTTTAATGATTTAAAAAATTTTGATGTTGTAACATGTTTAATTTAATTTAATTTAATTATAATATACCGATTTAATCTATAGGTATAGCACAAACAACACGTAATTAATTAGAATTGATATATTTAAGATCTAATTTCATTTTTTCCTTTTTTTTCAATTTTTTATACAAATGAATTAAAGGCTAGAAGTCTTTATACCAAATTATCTAAAATACATAGTAATTCCTAAATTGACTATTTTTTACAAACAACATTATATAAATTAATATATTATAGGAAATAAAACATTGGTTTATAAAAAAAAAATTATTAACAACAAATACTAATTTTTATCACTTCTAAAGTGCCACTTCACATTATTGTTAATAAATATCTAGTTTATGGATTGTTTAATCAAATTACAAATAGATAAATATATATATATGTATGTATATAAATACACAATCAAATTTATATGAAATTACCCAGTAGTTTTATTTAAAAATAAATAAAATTATTTAAGTGCTTGTTTGGTCAAATCGATCAATTAGAACACGAAGTATACTCTAAATCGTCAGAAAATTAAAAAAAAACAATTGAAAATTCATATCTCGAAAACGCTTCCATGAACAAAATTTTAAGAGTGCTTTTCGCGTTTAGTGAGCCAAACTACACAAGAAAATCATAGTGAGACATGGTGGGCAAAATGGCTGTAAATGTGCAAAATATGGGTGGGGGTAATGGTGGGGGCAAATATTTTTAAATTATAATTTTAAGATTTAAAATAAAAAACTAATTTTTTT